TTCACGCAATCGGAGGAAATTAAGCCACTTTCATGAAGAATGGAAATGTGACGATGAAAATCTTCAGTACACGAAATTAAACGCTGTATATCATCCAAAGTTATGTCATTTTGACTTTCTATTTCTAGGAAACTCGCACGAAGTTGAACCAACTCGTTAACTACGTTTTGAATTTCATTCATTGTCATTGAAAAATATAAAAGATCATTTCATATAAATTTCATTTGAAATGAATTTGTGTTTTCAAGATCAGCGCCTTTGTCAGCGCTAGATGGTCGCGTTTCTTAATACCTACCGCTGTTAAAAGTTCACGGGCCTTTGATCAAATCAAAGGTGTACAATCATCAAATCAAAGGTGTACCATCGTCAAATCAAAGGTGTACCATCGTCAAATCAAAGGTGTACAATCGTCAAATCAAAGGTGTACCATCGTCAAATCAAAGGTGTACCATCGTCAAATGAAAGGTGTACAATCGTCAAATCAAAGGTGTATCATCATCAAATCAAAGGATGTACCATCGTCAAATCAAAGGTGTACAATCATCATATCAAAGGTGTACGATCATCAAATCAAAGGTGTACGATCATCAAATCAAAGGTGTACGATCATCAAATCAAAGGTGTACGATCATCAAATCAAAGGATCATTATCATATTAAAGGTACACAGTCATCATTTTAAACGTGTACAGTCATCATTTTAAACGTGTACAGTCATCGTATTAAAGGTGTACATGATCATCTATTAGACATATCATCGATTTGTCCAATCTACCGCGCCATAATAATGAAGCCAATGCTCACACAAACATACTTGCCTAAATTATGAATACCCTTCATTTTGAGCAATTAATTAAAGAGCCAACTCGAGTTACGGCAACAATCGATTTAGCCTTTACAATTCACTTATTCACCAATAGCCACGCCATCTCGAATCATGATGCATTATGGGTTATCCAGGGTAAAAATCCGAATTCAAAAGCCTTTAATGTCGTATTGAGACACAATACGACAATTTTGTTTCATAAACACTTTCTTGAGGACAATGAGGCAGTGTAAATCAATTTTATGCGCACTTTGTTGATATTATTTCAATTTTTAGGCCTAACAAAGATTTAAACTATAGATTTTATCCTGATTTTTTTATTTTTCCCAGCTTTTGTGTGTTTTCCTAGCAGGGATGCCGGAAGATCGATAATAGCAGGGGCAGATATTCATATATTCGTGTTCACAGACTGTAAAAACAATCGATTTCAAAAGAAATTAATTGGACAGAACAGGAATATATGAATATCTGCACCCCCAATTATCGATCTTCCGGCATCCCTGTTTCCTAGTCCTTCTAAAAATTGTCTGTTATTTTCAACTATAAAAACGTGTGTTTTCGCCCACATATTTGATTTACAGCCCTTCAAAAACGTTCAATTACCTGGATCACCCATAATGCATTGCGTTAAACGCGAAATTCAAGATGGCGTCGCTATTGGTGAATAGGTGAATTAACAAACCTGAATTAATTAATGGCTCCGGAGTCATTTATTGGGGAATCAGCGACCATAGTATGATTTATATCCAAAGAAATATTTCCATTCCCCGTGGGGAACCTAAGATTGTCAAAACTAGGCAATTTAAGCAATATAATGCTAATGCTAATAATTTTAAGGCAGATATTTTTACATATTTAAACGATGAAATATTTTTGAACAGTACGCTTGATCCAAACGTATATGTGGGAAAAATGGAAAACAAGATTTTTGACTGTCGCTGATTTTCATGCCCTCCGATTACTAAAAGAGTAAGAAGCCAATATGCTCCGTGGATAACAAACAATATATATATATATATATATATATATATATATATATATATATATATATATATATATATATATATATATATATATATATATATATATATATATATATATAGTTTTTCGTTTTACCTCAAAAAAAAACCCCACAATAGTCTGTTTCATCCTATACGGACTATTGTGGGGTTTTTTTTGAGGTAAAACGAAAACTTATATTACGCTCTATCTATATGGTATCATGGATAATAAAATAAATGGATTGGAAACTTCTGACGTCATTGACTGCATCCTTGTTGAAAAACGTGACGTCACGCGTATTGCGAATGTTACCAAAGTTCTCGGCATTTTTGTTGTTTTGCTATATTTTCCACTTTAAAAGGGTGATATTGAAGCATAAACTGGTCTAATTGTTTTAAAAACATGCCTAAGCCACGACAAAGTATTCAAGGTAAATGTTTTTCGTCTTTGTTTTGTATTTTTTTACATTTGTAGCTACGAAATTGGCGTCACAAATTTTAACGAAATTTGTGATGTATTTTTCACTGTTTAGTGCTTGAAATATTTGCTAAAATTAACTGGGAATACTTAGAGTTTTCATCGTAGAATGGCGTGGTTACATTTATTTGCTATTTGACTAAAATGTTTAGCTGTATTATTGCTAAACATGCCGTTTTTGAGAATTTGATTTTCAACTAGGTTGAGGCATCCAACCACGCCATCAATCCCAGTAAAAACATTAGGTCACGTCAGCTAGTTTCCTATCCATTTATTTTATTATCCATGCTTT